AGGGCATCAGTTACTGGCAGGGAGTGTGGTGAGGGGAGATAGGCCTTTGGAGGGCCTGGGAGTACCCAGAGAGGTGGAGTGTAAGACCCGACCTGACATATAAACACAAACATGCATTCCCACCCTCATGCACACATATACAAATACTCAGCACTCACCCAACGTAGGGATAGACATACACTGTACACACAATCACACTCCCCAAACAAACTCTATACCCCAGGTCCAGATTCCCTCGCCCCTGGAGGGAGAAGCGGCACCTAGACCCAGGAAATGTTACCCTTTCCCCCGGGGTGGAGGCAAGCGGTCGTCCAAGGCTCCGCAGCAGCAAGGAGGCCCCGCATCCCAGATCCCAATCAGACGGCCAACACCGCTATTGTTGAATGTATTAATGTAATGTTTTCTGACTTACTTGACCCCCTTTTAGTTAACTTTTACTTACCATATACTTAATGCTGTGGCGTTAATAAAGTTTTGAAGAAAAAAAAATGTTTACATCCCCCCTACAGGAGCACGCGCTCAACTCAACTCTTTCTCCTATTGGCTGTTCTGATATGTAGCTCCACCCACCGCCATACATACATTTAACTCATAAAAAAAAGAGAAAAGAAACCAGTTTGATGCTGGCGGGGGTTTTTTTTCCACGTTTTTCTGAAACAGTAAAGTCTGAACTGTGTTTAACTGTAATGCAGAAAAATTCTCACTTATATCGTAATGCTTTATATATTTTATTTTATTATTTTATTCAGTAGTTTATTCTCCTTCCAGTGGTTAGGCGTTTGACGCCAAAGCAGTGTGAATTTAAACGTAAGGTAAACAGTTGCAAGTAGTCAACTTTGTTTTAAATGGTTTAATTAAAAAACATGATTGCTCCGATTGGGAGTATTTATAGGCATGCGCAACATGCACGTGTCGTAAACGTACGCGCAATGGCATCAGAGGCAAGTGACGAGACGACGGTAAGTTTGCAGCTGTCACTTTAAAGGGTAAAAGTAGTTCCGCTCTCTGCGGTTCACTTACACCGCTCACTCGTTTCTGTAGCCTTCGCACGCCGCGGTAGAGCCAAAGGACATACTTAAAGTAACTCGTTATTGTTATTTTTATTTAACTTTATTTTTAAGCAAGTGATTTGGCTATTCTAACCCTTGCTTTTCGACCCACAAAGCTCACTTTGGTTGAGTGACGTTTAAAAACAAGTGAGCAAAGTTTGCATCCTTGAATTTTAAATGGCAGCTTTCGATGAAGTGCACACTGAATGGATTAATGTCATGAAGCACAACAGATAAATTAACACCTGAACATGGGATAGAGTGTGGTTTAGGGTTCAATTCAAAGCACCTGGTCAATTATCCTGTGTAAAACCCTTAAGCCCCCCTCATTTCTTTATATTTTTTTAACAATGTTTTGCAAATATGCATGGTAATACAGTGTATGCACAAGGAAAACACTTCTGGCCAGTTTGAAAGTTAATACTTGGAAGTCTTCATTCTTCAAGACTGCCTGAATTCACTTGAGCAAGTTTTATTTTAAGTTCTTCAAGTAGTCTTCAGGGATAGTTCTCCAGGCTTCCTGAAGAACATTCAAAGCGCTTCTTTGGATGCCAGCTTCTTTTTGTTCTCTTCTCTATCAAGATGTTTTCCGATCACTGTCATGCTGAAAAGTCATTTGACTTTCATATGATATTGAACGGTGGATAAAAATCTGATTCCTTTAATTTTGCCAAGATCCCAAACACCAAAGTCTGAAATTCAGCCCCAAGCCATGATGGAGTTTTAAGGATGGCTGTAGATGCACTGTTGCCACTGATGTTAACTCTATGGATCAGCTAAAAGTAAAGCTGCATCTGTCAGGTTTTTGCTGGATTTTTTTTTTTTTTTCCCACCTCATTTTATTTAGGCCTGCCGCTTTATTTGTCCTCCACTTGGACACACTTGCTGTATGGGAAGCTGTGGTTTAATAGGCATTCCACTGAAAATGGTCAGGAACTAGAATGAAAATGAGAAATGCCCAGTTTCCAAGGAAAACCCTCGAACTATTACTCAAGACAAGTTGAGCAAGACAGAAAATCAGAAGACTGAGTCATTGGAAGCATAATGCAAAGAAAAGGCTGGCTCGAGGCTTTTAAACCGTGCTCTGTTATAGATACAATGTTACTGCTGAGGCTTTCTGTTGCTGCATGATAGTACATTTCTGGATGTTTCCTTTGTTCAACATCCTGTGGTCAGAAATGAAACAACCTATAAGCTGCAAGTCTGGAGCCTGCTGGAGTATGGTCCATGATTTAATGCTGATGATATATGTATTTAACTTCAAAAAATAAAAGCATTGTTCTGTAGTGTAAGGCAGGTGCAGCCTCTTGTGGACAATATCTGCCATTTTACCTCTGAAGGTCAACTACCTTTGTTTGCCATTGACACTGACATTTTTTAATCTCTTCTTCAGATGACACTGGAAGAATCCATGGCACGACGGTATGACTACTTTTGAGTTATTATTGTATTTTGAGGTGTGATTGGACTGTCGGACTGTACTGAGTTCAGTTTTGTCTTTGCAGTCGTCGCCTAAAGAGAAGAGAGAGGGAGACTTCATGGCTGGGACGAAAAGTAAGAGACACATCATTTGAAAGCATGGTTGTGACTTTAAGTCGCATAAAACGGTTCTCTACAGCCACTTCTGTACAGTTTATAACTTTGTTTTTTAATCCTGCAGTACAGAAAAAGTGAGAACACACTGCATCAAAGGGTATGTCGCCTTCTTGAAGTACGAGTCAACAAATGGCAGATCATTGATAAAATGTGAGTGGATTTTCTTTTTAATTTCAGCTCAGAGAGCTTATTACGATCACTCAGAGGTCACCTCTCCAGGATGCAGTCCAGCCAGCATCGATTCCCTTAGTTGCCTCAAGCCGGCTGTTCTCGCTGCACCCTTACCTTGGGTATTTTCTTTTTTTTCTTATGCTGACATCTTCTGCTGTTGATGCTTTTCTGTTAGACTGATTAGTTATTTTTAAACATGACAAAATAATCCATGGAAACTTTTATTATTCAGATAATCCCATTGAAACCAGTGATGAGTCGTTGGCAGAAGACAGGCAGCTCAAAGTGCCTGTCTAAGCACACATCAAAGCTAACTCCATTATGAAGTTGATAAAACTATGCTGTAAAGATGATTTTGTTTTTGTTTGGTTCTTTTTATTCTGTAAAATATAACATTTTAACAAAATTGCAGTTTTATTACCCCTCAGCTATAAAAGGCTGATGGTGTGCTTTGGTCACTAGGGATGGTAATTGGAAAATTCCAAGGACTTGGAGTTCTGGGAACATGATGGATACATTGCTTGCATCACCCTGCCAGGCGGGTAGTTTGTGAATGCAATAACTAGAACAAGGTGTTGGCATAGGATTTTCAAATGGATACCTAAGGTGTATCTACTAGTGGGCTGATGGGTAGCACTGGCAGCCTCCAGAGGTTGCTGCTTGACAGTGCGAGGTAACGTTAAAGAACTTCAAAAGCAGCAAAGTCTCGCATTAACTTTATGCTTTTTTTTTTTTCTTTTCCCCATTAACCTTTAAAGGATTTACACATTTTCTCTTCACTTACTGCTGTAGCTTTAATTGACTGTATATTACAGATGTGAGTCTTCCGATGAGGAGTGGGTGAGTATGATCGGCACGCCGAGGAACATCACACGCAGCAGCGTGAGCTTCAGGAAGAGGCAGCCCCTGTTAACACCCAGAATGAGATCGATCATCCTCTACTGGTTAATGAAGGTTGTTGTTGTTGTTGTTATTGTTGTAGTTGTTGTTGTAGTAATTTTCAGTAATATCGAAGCAGCGTTGAATGTTATTTTTAGTGTTTGTAGCTAAAAATGATTTACTTGGAATACAGTCGTGAGTAGTGCAAATCAATCCAAATTAGAATGTGTAGATTAGCTGTCTCATCTAAATGACACATTAATAGGACTTTCATGATTGTTCCTGCAGGTGTGTGAGGCATACGCTGTTCACAGGGAGACTTTCTACCTGGCACAGGACTACTTTGACCGTTTTCTGTTGATTGAGAGAAATCTTAAGTTGGGTGTGCTGCAGCTCATTGTGCTCACATGTCTTCTTATAGCATCAAAGATGGAGGTAAAATTACTGTTTAGTAGTTCCTTTTCTTTCTTTTTTTTTTTTTAAATATTTTTTATTTTTTTGGCTTTTTGTGTTAAATCTAAAATACAAATTCTTATTACTTATTCCAATGTTTTTATTTGCACTGTGGGTTTCTTGATGTTGCGAACAGGGATTAAAGTGTCACAAAGTGCATTTAAGTGGGAACCAGTGGTGACTCTCTTGCTTGTGCGTGGCAGACCTGAACTGCTGTTGTAATTCAGCTTTACTGCGCTTCGACTGCATTCTTCATACGTCTGTGGCTTCTTTCCACCCATTAGCCATAGCCCGCTGTCAAATACAGCAGAGTGAAAGGAAAGGGTAACATCAGATTAAAATTTTTAAATGTAGGATCAAAATTTGACTTGCTTGACTTTGTGTGAAACTACTAACTGGGTTGATTTAAAGGTACTAGAAAGGTGTTCCTGCCCACTTTAACCCCTGGTTGATTAAAGGCGTTTTATTTATTTTATAGGAATCTAAACCTTTAAAGATCTTGCATCTGTCACGTGTGGCTCATGGGATCTACCATGTAGAAGAATTCCGTCATATGGAGTTGGTCATTTTGAGGGTAATACTTTTAACTCACTATTCATCATATGCACCCGTTCCATTGTGCATTTTATAAATCAATATGCTTTTGTATGCTCTGCAGACATTGCGCTGGTACACTCGTCCTGAAACGGCTTTGACCTGGCTGAAGTTCCTCCTGCAGGTGATCTTCAGGAAAGAAAAAGCAAACCTGCTTGAGCAGCCGTTTCCAAAAGATACTTACATGAGAAGTGCAAATGTAGGTGTTTGAGTTCACTTATATTTAAGTCAACAGTTCTATAATACATCTACAAATAAGACTGTATTGCAAGAGAAGTGAAATATCCTTGCTAACCTTGTGTGTGTAGTTGCTCAAGGTGTTTTTGTTTTAGCTTTTAGATCTGTGCATCCTTGACGTGAACTCGATGGACATACCTTATCACGGATTGGCTGCCTCAGTCCTGTGTTATTTCGTGGACCAGGGACTGGTAGAAAAAGTTGCATGTAAGAGTTGGAGACTTAAAAAACAGAAGTAAAATAACTAAAAAATGTGGGAAAACGTGTTACACCTGACACACAGGAAGAACGAAGTTAATGTTTAAAATGAGAAGGCTCAACTCTTGAACATGTCAGGTTATTCAGTCTGTATGTTTGGTTTCTCTGTTTAGGTCTGCCCAGAGAACACCTCCAGCCATGTGTTGACTGGCTGGCCCCCTTTATGGATGCACTGGAAGACTTTGGCACAGTCACACAGAAAGTGTTTCCCACAGTAAGAAGAGAAGACCAATACAACATCCAGGCAAACTTGGACTACATGTCCATTTTGGTTAGTGTCTTTTTTTTTTTCTCTCTTCCCCCTCTGTGGTCTTCCTTATAATTTAAGGTTTAAGTCAGACTAGAAAATGCAGTCGGGAAAATGATTGTTTACCCATACAAAAGCAAACTCCTAAGACTTGAAATGTTTGTAGAAGCTATATAGAGCTTACAGATGGAAGCTGGTTTAATGCAGTTTGTGATGGCGGCAACCTGTGTTGCATCTGGCATACTAAGCGCTATAAATAAAGGGACTGGCATTGGATAACTCCTCTTCTGACACATGATCTATATTCGCTGACCACTTCAGTAGGTACATCTGCTCGACTGGTGGTCAACCTTGTACAATTGGTCAATCACATGGCAGAAACTCTGTGCATTTAGACATGGTCAAGAGGACCTACTGAAGTTGAAACGGAGCATCAGAATAAGGAAGAAGCTTTATTTTAAGTGACTTTGATCATGACGTGTTTGATGCCAGGTGGGCTGGTCTGAGTATTTCGAAAACATTGATCATATGACATTCATACTGCTTTGCCCTCTTGTTTGACACGCTGTCAGTTTTTTACAATCGTTCCAGAAACAAGAATGCAAAGTCAAAGCTAAGAGCAGTGGTATGAGACACCATACCTCTGCCAATGCTGAGGAATTTGAAATGATGAGGTTGACTTGAATCTGTGTGAGTAGTGTTGCCTATCATTCTATTTGGTTGCCCACTTCTGTGGACGGAAATTCAAATGGATCACTCGTTTACAGTACTGTGCTAGTATGAACCCATAATTCTGCAGCCTTTTAGTTATTGAATGATGTCGTCACTCCTTTGCCATTCTTAAACTTCATTGGGGGAGATGGCAGAGCTTTTGACATTAGCCATAAAAAAACAAACAAACCCTGGACCATGTTTCTGTATTGCAGAATGAAACCCTGAATGCACAATTTCACGTAAAAGCATTTCTTTGATTTTAAGAAAATATATTTACTTTTGGTATAAAGTGAACATTTGAACAACTTATTTTTCCCAGCTGACACACGTGAAACTGCTCATTTGTAGAAGTCTGGCATATTTATTCTGTTTAAAATGAAATGTTATTTTTAATTAAAAAAAAAAAGACTAAAAATGAATGAGACTTGAATTCCAAGTTGTTACCCTTACAGTGTCGATAAATTGCTTCCATTAATTTTTAGGATGTTGCTCACAAGGCAATAAAAGGCAATTCTCCTACAAATGATGTGGAACCACTCAATGCCACCTCGTACAGAGGGAGGATCTACGTACCTGGGCAAGGACTTACGTCTTCAGAAGATGAAGTTTAACAGAGTCTGAAGGTGCTGATTGCAGTTCTATCTGAAACTTTCCTCAGATTTCCTGCAGAGATGGCTGCAAATGTCCAACTCAGACTGATCTGACAGAGTTGAATGCTGAATCAAAATAAATTGTGTCGTAGTCTTAGTATGCCATAGTGTGAGAATAGTTATTGTTAGTTTAGAGTTGAATAGTTGTCACCCCCACCCACCCCCGCATCTTCCCCTCACCACAAATAGTAGTTCTTGACGTATTCAATCCATTAAAAGACGATGTAGGAGATCTAAACTGTTAACTGATATTTGAAGGCCACTCTTCTTCTAGCCACTTTTTTTTGTTTTCCCTCATTTTTGGGTTTTAAGGTTTTATTTCAGAAAAATGCAAAGTTCAAAAGTTTGTAACATGAAGGTGAATTTTTAGAAAATTGTGGGATGCATTTTTTTCCTCTTTTTAAATGAAGAAATGTTGTGTGCTGCTGTCCAGCAGCCAAAGTATAGTAAAATGAATGCTGTACTAGTGTGAATTTTTAAAAACCCCAAACGGAAAGCATTAACTGAACCAGGTCCTGATGTGATTAACTCAGGGCATTTTGATTTTATAAGTTTATTGCAAAAGATGAAAATAATACAAATTACCATGTACTTGTTACCACAAAATAAAATATTCATCCCCACCCTGTGAAATCTGACAGTGGTTCGTGTGTTTACTAAAAGTACAGTTTGGCCATCGCCTGCAGGAATCTCTTCTTCCTCTTCTGTGCAGCCAGCTGCAGCACTTCCTCTGGATTACTGGTGTTCAGTTCTGTCTGTCCAATCGCTTTTATCTGAAGGGTTGGGAGAAGACATCGGTTATGTTTTTGTTATGAGAATTCTTATTGAAATATACAAAATCCTACAGGTTCTACACTTCCAAACATTTTATATAAATTCTTTATTGCAGTCCATACACCTGAACGTTTAAGGCTACTCAGTGTGTTTAAGTCTCTCTCCCACAGCCTAATAAAAGCATGTGGAAATCTCTTTAGTTTATATAAATTTGAATATTAATTGATGAACCTCCTTTGAAACGTTACAGATCAACTTTCTAATCTGTTTCATTTGGCTGCAGTTCCAACAGTGTAAAATAGACGTGGCAGCAGATTAGGACTCTAAAAACCTCTGTACACCTTTCACCAGCTGAATGCAAAGTCCACTGAGGATGTGACTGAGCTGCACTGCTCTAATTGCAGATAATTATATTTCACTTGTATACTGTGAAATTGATGCTTCCAGATTTTAAAACCATAACTCTGAATATAACCTGCTACAGACTAGGTGGCACATTCAGCTTAAGTTACCATAGAGATCTGGGCAGGTAAAGAGTTGAGCTCTAACTTTAAGCTCAACATTGCTCAGTAACTCTTGTTTCACAATGCATGTCAGATTAAATTTGACCTTTTATGCCTCACAAGTATTTTATTTTTATTAGACATTAACCAGTCTGCTTATGTGGGTGGTCATTGACAAGCGTTAGCTGGTCATCACTTTGTTGCCGGTCTCTTCCTGCATTATTCTTCTATGATTTTATTGCATAAAAGAGAAGTCATAAATCTATACGTATGAGATGCTTTTCAGGTCGCAGCCTTTCGTGCTATAAGCTGTAGGGTTATAAAGACTTACCGCTATTTGTCTCTTCTCAGTCTCTCCTCGTTTGTGGTGAATATCTGAGCAAAAAAAATCAGGAAGCTAAACAGACACTGGAGAGAATGTATTCCTTTTTAAGTTTTAGCCAACAGTGATTATTGTTACATGAAGGATACGTGTGAGATATTCCAGGATGGTGACGTCCCAGATGTAGTCGTAGAATGAGTCCATGGCGTCGTGACTGTAATGTGAGAGGATACTAGCTGTTATTAAGAATGGCTCTGTGGGTAATGTAATGTGTCCTCCAGGGCCGTACCTGTTCTGCTCCTGAAGCGCTTTAAACGCTGTCATGTAGTCGACTTCTCTCAGAAACTGGCACAGAACAGCAACCTGACGAGAATCAGAGATGTCACATTACTTCCAACTCGCTACATCTGTAAGACACCAGTCAGCACTGAGACACTTACAGTCGGCTTTATACTTTAGCAGAGGTGCACGGAATAATGAGGCAAACAATGGTATTGGTTGATTTGCCTTATTGACTCTCATCAGCAAATAAAGCTGATATATTTTCTCTCATCAGGGTCTATCATTATTATACTGTTATATTGATTTTGTTCTGCTAAATGTTCAAAGAAGGGACGAGGAGCTTTCTAGCTTTTATTCATGAAATTATACTGGGGAAAACAAAGTGGGCACTTGCATCAATCCAACAATATGTTCATTAATTCCTCAGCAGCTAACATTAGTTCACTTTCTCAAATAGGCAGTTTGACCTCTGACCTGTGTGTGGCAGTTCAGCATTGAACAGCATTTAATCATCCTCTTCAGAACCTAAAATAAAAACAGGTGTGTCACTGTTAGGCGAGTCAGTCGGCTCTCATATCTCTCAAACTGCAGAGGCTCACTATGGAGTGCACTCTGGTATTAGTCGGTGTTTTACCTGGTCAGTGTAGATGTCGGGGGGGACGGCTTTGGTGAAGAAGTCCGAGCACACAGCTCCAGCCTGCAGGTAAAGGTTCAGAGCTGCAGAGTACTGATTGGTCACTACAAAGGGAGAAATGAAAGTTGTTATTCAAGCTGCGGGTGGCTGTCTGAAAATGCTTTCTTAAGGGAATGTTTCGCAATTGCTGTGAAATTTCTTTTAAGTCACTTCAATCTTATTTTTCCTTTCTGTCCAAACGTCAAGTACATTGGTAGAAAAACGTCAGCCTTTGTCTAAGGAATAACAACATTTCACTGATTCAGTGAAGAAAGTTCTCTGAGTTGATGAGATGTGGTGATTGTTCTTACCAAAGTAGATGTCGGCTTGTGTGATGAGCCATGATTGGTTATTGGGGTTTAGAGTGAGAGCATAGGAAACCAACTCCTTGACTGTCACAGCCACAGCTTCCACATCCACTGCCTGTATGCTGCTCAACACACAGATCGGAACATTTAGTTTTTCGTGCTGTGTACATGCTGTTAAAGGGGATGTTTTTCCTTATGTCCTCTCATATTAACAGTTACAGTCATAGTGCAGCTGCTTTTGATTGTTTATGTCAGAGAAAGATGATATCCCCTAATATCAAACTGTTTATGAAGGCTAGCCAATCAGAAGAAAGTTGGCTTGACGACAAAGGAATGAAAACAGCTTGGTTCACACAGAGGATGAACTGAGGAGCATCAGTACAAGTCAAATAAGGATTATTCTGAACTGTGAGTCATGCAAAGCTGCTCTAGTAGAGTCTAAACTAAGAACGTAATAAACAGATCTGTAACTGCAGATAACCTGACAGCTTTTCATGCACAGTGTACTTCCTGTAACTTTTTCACAAGAAAAGTAACCTCTGCTTATAAGCTGTTAGTGTGAAGAGGCATCAACACAATGAATAAAGAGTAAAATGACAATGTACAAGCAGGAGTCAAACTAGTCCAAACCACACATATTCACTCAACTCAAAATTCTTATTTCTTATTTTTTCAGTAGCTCAAACAAGCTTTAAAAGATTTCTCTCAGCTTGTAGGAGTTGAGGACAGGAAAAGAGATCCCTGTGTGTCGGTCCTGTAACTAAGTCCGACCAGTGCAGTGTAGCAGAAACAGTTGGTGCAGCTAAAACAAACAGATGAGGTAAAATAGAAAAGTCGTTCCTACTTTGGAAGAGAAGATGGCCAGATGGAGAGATGTTCTGCAGTAACTTCATTTACAATGTCATCCTAAAGAAGAAGAAAAAACAAGGGGCTGAAGATGCAGACAGAAACTACAGCAGCACTGAAATCCCTCAATTTTTCCATTTTACTGTGTTCTATTTATGAATTCAGAGTCATACCCTGACTATACTGTGGAGTCTCACAAACAGTGAGATCAGAGTCGTCAGCACCAGTGGCTCCTGTAAGAATAAGACAAATCACAAGGTAAACAGCTAATTTATTCTTCCACAGTGTGTTTAAGTTGGTATGTGGTGATACTTACTCTAATTTTCTTGGTGAAAGTGATGAATTTGCTCCTGGAGGAGTCACATTAAGAAAACAGAATGAGTGTGACGCTACATGAATCTCAGACATGTTGTAATGTTTCTAAATCCTATGAAATCCTAAAATGACATCATACCTGTGCAAGATGCCCATGGAGGACTCTCTCTGTTTAATGAGGCCAATTCGGCCGTCGCTGTTCCTCTTGTGTTGGATGGAGATGCTGCAGATCTGAACCACCACATCCCAGAGCTCCTTGGCGGTGCGCCGACTTTCTTTAGGACCTGGAAGCTCCTTACACGTGGATGCCAGGAGCTGACCAAGCTATCGGGACAAAACAGGACAAATTTAATAAAGGAAAAATGCAAAAATACTGGCGACCGCTAGACACACCTATGGTATCGGTTTCAAAATCCTACATCACCTTGTTCTTGAGACATCGCATTGTAATTTATTGGAAATCCCACAGTACCTAAATATAACCAAATCAATCCTGAGAGAGAATACGCTCTCTCAGACTTTCATGTGTCTTGGTGGAAAAATTTTAAGTGGATCTGGTACCACAACTTATTTTTAAATGAATTTAAACCAACTTATTAATTAGTTCATTACGTAATCACTCAAGATTTTTAGTTTTCTTATAGAGCTGTGACTTCTGAGTTGCAGAAGAGTGTCTCAGCTGCCTCAGCTGGGATTTAAATAGCCTTAAACCTTACAGACAGTCAGCTACTGTGTCGATAACTTTGCTATAATTTCATGTTGGTGAATATCAGAAATAGCATCACTGGAGCTGCTAGAAAGAGAAAATTTCATGAAAGTGTTAAAAAAAAGAAGCACACAGACGTGTTACCTTGATGTACGGGTTGTTCATGACCAGAGACTGTGACACCTGCAGAGTCAGGTAGTCGTTCTCCCTCCAGTTCAACATGAAGGCGACACACTCCTCTCCCACCACCTGACGTAGAGGCAGATCTGGAAACAAAGACCAGGAAATCCTTCACTGCACCTCCAGAATTGGTGCTATATAACAAGGCCTAGAAGCTGTTTATTCTGCTTTATCGGTAACTGAAGTTTTTATGGATAGCAGACATACGTCTATTTTTACAGTGAGATACATGCTACTCTTGCAGAAGTATCCTAATAGTGCCTTTTTTTTTTAAACAAATGTTTCTAGCTGCAAGACCAGATCTGTAACTTCTTGTAAGTGACATTAGTTTAGTACATTTGTTTACTGGGGCCCTAGAAATAGATTTTATAGTAGTATATGAAGCCTGATCCACAATGATTTTCTCCCATCACAGACTTAACCTGAAGATGCTGACACTGGAGTGACTCCACTCGCTGCTGTTCACTCACCATGAATCCTCATCTCTAGGTAACCTCTGACCCTGCTGACCAAGTCAGGGGGCGGCCGCTCCTTGCTCCCCTCGGCCGCCATCGCCTCGTGTGCGCGGACCTCCAGCAGCAAGATCTCATTCAGCATCACCTGCCTCAGCTTTGGGGAAAACTCTGTGACGAGCTCCAGACAGGCTGAGAAAAGCTGCCGTGCATGGGTGAAGTCCTGAGGAAAACATGCTCCATGTATTAAGCAGTTAAAAGTGATGCTCTATGATTGGATAACAACGTTTAATTATTAAAATAACATTTATGCCCCACTGAGCGTTGATAATGGCTCAGACCTTTATTGAAATGCAGTGGAGTCCTTTGGCCATGAGGATATAAACCAGGTCCTTGGTCAGGTTGTCTTTAATGCCGAGGATCACATTAATGTAGTCTGGAGGAACCTCCCACTGTTCATATAAACAGGAAGTGGTAGGTTAATTCAGATCATCTTGGTTGGTTTCGTGTGTTAGAAGTAAGGATTGAAAATTATTCCAAATGTGTGTGTATATATATGTGTATATGTGAGAAACTGTAGTCCAGCACAATCCAAGATATCTTAAATGCATTAATGTTGAGCTCATGTCTCTGACCTTGCTGTTGACCCTCCAGAAAGGTCGTTCAGCCAGGCCGTGGAGTTCAATGAGGATCTGTCTGATCCTGCGTGGCTCCAGTGAAAGGATGAGCTGCTGCTCCAGCTGGCCAATGTTCACACTCGCTGAAGCTGTGAAGAAGTGAACCAAACCTCAATATGTCTCATGGTTTTCATGTGGAGAAGCGGCAGTGTTATGTAGCAGAAGTGTACAAAAGGCCAGCCAGTTCGCAGAACTCACAAACGGAGCCACACCTGCGGAGTAAGATATCAGCATACTGTTGCTGTTTAGCCAATGAGCGGTGAGGCAACCCATTCTCTTCACCAATCAGAAGAGGGTTAGACTTCATCATTTCTTCACTACCAGACACACTGGACCCACTACAGTTCGCTTACCG